TGGTGATTATTTCACAATATGTACAAATATCAAATCAGTATATTGTGCACCTGAAACTAATACAATGTTATATGTCAATTATACCTCAATTTTAAAAAAGCAATAAAACCCCCCAAATTATGATTCTTTCCCTCTTTTTCTGATAATCCCCTCAGGAAACAAGTTTGGTGAATTGGTTTTCAAAACGCACATGAGATCACAGGTGTTTCCCGGCAGATCAGCTCTTTACAGAAAGCTGACATTCTGAAAGGAGGGAGGACAGGTTTTGTCAGGGACATCTTGGTGAGCTGAGGCAGGGAGGGCTCGGGGCTGAGCAGTGAGTGAGTGCGAGGATTCCAGCCTGTTAGACACACGTGTTTAAAGATGGGAAGGTTTCCTCAGCAATGAAGCTCGGCTCTGAATGGGGTGTCTGGGCTGCCCATCCTTAGGGCAGAAGGGGCAGGAAGCCACTCTCAGCCCCAGGTGCTCCTGGGAGGGTGTTCTGGCCACTCCACTTGGGCTTATTTTCTTGGGCTCCAAAGAGTTGTCGCTGGCACCTGCTGTTTGAAGTACCCACACCCCAAAAAGCTGTTCCCACAGGCCCAGCAACACAGGGGAGCCACGTTTGCCAGAGAAAATAGTCACCAGGCTCTTATATTCCTCGTCACATCCTGCAGAGGTTGGTGCGACCATCCACCTTCTACAGGTGAGGACACAGGCCTAGCAAAGAGGACTGGGTCTCAACATTGAACTAACACCTGGATTTGGGGTGATGCTCTGTGCTGGGTGATTTAGAGAGAGCACCTCAGATCTTTTCAACTCTCCTAACAGGAGTCCATGATTATCCCCATTTTACAGATGGGCAAACTGGGGCTGAGAGAAATGAAGGGACTGTTTCCTCCCTCCACTGTGTCCCAGGGGAACCTCCTGTGGCCCCCGGGCTTTCATGTCCATCACAGAGCAAGTGTCCTCCTCCTTGACCCCACACTGACCACCACCCTCTCTTACCTCTGGGATTCCTGACTTCAAGCAATTACTGGAGGAGTCGCCTCTGGAGTGCCCAGGCCTGGGGACCCTGCAGCGATAAAGGGAGGACACGGGCTCCTGACAGCTGGTCTAGAACATGAGCTCTTGCTCACGCGGGGCCCCAGCACCTCTGGGAAATGCCTCCCCCTCCTCATCCTCAGTCTGCTGAGCCAGGGTCGGACTGCACGGTGTTGCTGGAGTGCAGCAGCCCCTCTCCGCCCTGTCCACACCTCCCTTCCCAGAGCTGCTCCTGCAGGCTGCTCAGTGAAGGACAATGTCACAGCAATGGGGGAGACTCCTGAGTGCTGTGACGTGGGCTGAGCCCTGTGTTTTAGGAACAGGTTCAGCACATCACGAGACACTTGCAGTATCTGCCTGATATGGGGTCGTAGGGTAGCCCCGCCTCCCCCACAGGACTTTTTTTTTAATGCTTATTGCTGAAGAACAGAACATAAAAGATTTTAGAGGAGAGGGTTGGAGCTTTCTCCACACTTTTAACAACCACAGCAGGGGGCTTCAGAGCAGGGCCTGTGAGTGAGGCTGGTGGGAGTTCAATCTTGGCTCTCCTGCCTGCTCACCAGTCAGGTCAGTTCTCTGAGCCTCAGTGTCCTCATCTGTAAAAGGGCAACAAATGGCCTCTCTCTTATAGCACTGGTTATAAAAGTAAGTTAAAATCAGAATTCCAATGACATTTTTTCATGGAAACAGAAAAAAGACTCCTAAAATTTACATGGAACAGCAAAAGATCCCGAACAGCCAAAGCAATCCTGAGAAAAAAGAACAAGCTGGAGGTATCACACTCCCTCAATTATTTAGTAAGCAAAACAGCGTGGTACTGGCAGAAAAACAGACAAACAGATCAATGGAACAGAACTGAGAGCCTAGAAATAAAACCACACATCTATGGACTGCTAATCTTCACCAAAGGAGCCAAAAACATTCAATGGAGGAAGAAAAGTCCCTTCAATAAATGATGTTGGGAAAATTGGACAGCGACATGCAAAAGAATGAAAGGAGACCATTATCTTATACCATACTCAAAAATTAACTCAAAATGGATTAAAGACTTGAATCTAACACCTGAAACTATAACACCCCTGGAAGAAAATATGGGCAGTATGCTCTTTGATATTGGTCTTAGCGGTATCTTTTTGAATATCGTGTCTCCCTAGGCAAGGGAAACAAAAGAAAAAATAAACAAATGGGACTACATCAGACTAAAAAGCTTCTGCAAGGCAAAGGAAACTGTGAACAAAATGAAAAGACAACCCACCAATTGGAAGAAAATATTTGCAAATCATACATCTGATAAGGGGTTCGTTTCCAAAATATATAAAGAACTTATACAACTCAAAAAAAAGAACAACCTGATCACAAAATTGGCAGAGGATATGAACAGACGTTTTTCCAAAGAAGTCATACAGATGGCCAACAGGCACATGACAAGATGTTCAACAGCACTAATTATTAGGGAAATGCAAATCAAAACTACACTGAGATATCACCTAACACCCATCAGAATGACTATAATAAAAAGACAAGAAATAAAAAGTGTTGGGGGGTGTGGTGTGGAGAAAAGGGAGCCCTCACACACTGCTGGTGGAAATGCAAACTGGTCTAGCCACAATGGAAAACAGTATGGACATTCCTCAAAAAACTAAAAATAGATATACCATATGATCCAGCCATTCCACTTCTGGGTATTTATCCAAAGAACATGAAGACACTAATCTGAAAATGATATGTGAACCCTATGTTCTCTGCAACATTATTCACAATAGCTAAGACTTGGAAGCAACCCAAGTGCCCATCTACAGATGAATGGATAAAGAAGATGTGGTATATATACACTATGGAATACTACTCAGCCATAAAAAAGATGAAATTGTGCCAGTTGTGACAACATGGATGGACCTTGAGAGTATTATGCTAAGCAAAATAAGTCAGACAGAGAAAGACAAACACTGTATGATTTCACTCACATGTAGAAGATAAACAAACACATAGATAATGAGAACAGATTGGTAGTTACCAGAAGGGAATGAGGTAGCAGGAGGGTAAAAGGGGTAAAGGGACACATATGTATGGTGACGGATGGAAACTAGCCTTTTGGTGGTAAACAAGATGCAGTCTCTACAGAAGCTGAAATATAATGATGTACATCTGAAATTTACATAATGTTATAAACCAATGTGACCTCAATAAATAATTTTTTTTAAAAGAGTAAATGCCATGGTGAAGATACAGCATCTGGCATGCTACGTCTCCCTGTCGCCTCCAGCCTCCCTCCTTTCTCATCCAGTGTATCCTCTGGGCAGGCAGCTTGGGGAAGAGGAGTGAGCACTCTACTAGGAGGCGGCAGATCTGAGTGGCGGTGGAGCCACTTACTAGCTGTGATTATTTATGCAATGGAGGCACCATTGGGAATTTTAGTCATATCTGCAAAATCAGGGTAAAGCCACCTGCTCTGCCTATGTCCAGGGATTGTGGGACTTAATTGATACCATGTCTAGGAGGCAATTTTGTCAATATCCACACGAATTAAAATACACCCTCTAACCTAGCAATGCCACCTCCAGTGGCTTCTCTCTTTTGAGTAGAGTGGTTCATGGACATGGTTATCACCTGCAGTGCTGTTTTAATAGGCCAAGGTCAGGAACAACTTATATCCATGGACAGAGGACTGTAAAATGAATGTGCTATCTCCATACAATGGAGTGTTATGCAGCTGTTGAAACAGTGGGCAGCTCTGGGTGCTGATATGGAATGCTTGACTTGGGTTGATGTGGCTGAAGGTTGAGAGAGGTTTCCCAATGACCTTGGGCCTAAGGGTCAGAATGAAGGGACTTCTGATCTTTTATGAAGCCAAAGACAGGGAGAAGTCTTGATCCCTGTTCAACGGTTTGGTGTAAGGAGTTTTTAGTTATGCCTACCATGCACCAGGCTCTTTGATGGAAATAGTGACCATGCTGGGCAGGAAGTAGTCTGGCTGGAATCAGTTTTGGTCCTGGAAAGATCCCCTCATTCATTGGAAATGTGACCGTGGGCAAGTCACCCATTACCGGTTGGCCACAGGCTCCCCATCTGTACGTGGGGGTTTGGGCTAGATGGGTCTAAAGGTCCTTCCTGTGCAGACATTCTAGGTTTCAGGATCCTGGCCCTCTGGCAGAAAACCCTAAATTACCATCCTTGCTGCCTCAACAGGAAACCCCTAAGTCACCCACATGGGGAACCTCTTTGCTGGGTGAGGGACATTCTGAGATGACCTAGCTCTGCCCAGTGCCTTCAGTGACTGTGTGAGTTGATCCCTGAATCACTCAAGGGGGTTCTGGACACACAGCAAACACCCAACCTGTGTGTCTCCTCCAGCCAGGCTGTCAGAGTGAACAGAGTCTGGGCCTCTTAGGGATTCCTCTCAGTGTGATGTTTCTGAGGATGAAATGAAGAAACACATGTTCTCCCCTCCCTGCCCTGCCTGGATTTCTCCTCACAGGAAGGGAAGAGGACATGACCCTCCTGGGAGAAGAGTCTTTGCCTGCTGTGTCCACTGCTGCTTCCACAGCACCCAGAGCAGTGCCTGGCACACAGTAGGTGCCCATTAAGTGCTGATTAAAGGAAGACTTGGCCACATTGAGGGGCACTCTCTGGGGGCAGGGGCGAGGTCTGGCCTTCTGACTGGGTGAGTCACTCAGACTTTCAGTTCCCTCATCCCTGGAACCGAAGGGCTGGATGGGATGGAAAAAGCAAGGGCTATGGAGCCAGGCAGATGGGTATTCCAGACTTTTCCCCCCATTTACCAGCAGTGGGGCCTTGAGCAACTAGTACGACCTCTCCAGGCCTCAACTTCCCTGATCTGTGGAAATAGGTGAAATCAGATCATGAACATAAGCACCCACTGCCACACCTGATTCTTGCTGTTGCTCAAAGAATGGAGGGCGTTATTATTAACTTGTTGTCACACACCACAGGACAAAGGAGGCCCACACTGTACTCACCACTCACGGTGAGCTGGGTGCCTGGTCCAGACTTAACCTCAACATCATCAGGGCTCCCTTTCTGGAACTTCACACAGTAGTAGATACCAGTGTCTGCTGGGGTAACGGTACTGATGCGGATGGAAAAGTCCGTGTTGTTTCTCTTCGTAGTGTCTGAAACATTTTTTACTCGGGGGAAGTGGCCTCCTCTGAAACTGTAGATTAACTCCCGGCCTGGCCCTGTCCTCCTGAACCACTGGACAGTCCCCACAGGGAGGATGGAGGTCAGGGTGCAGCGCAGAGTGGCTGTCTCTCCAGCTGCAACTGACACTGACTTCTCAGGCTGAATCACCTGCAGCTCTTCCTCACTTGCCACTCCTGGAGAAAAACAAGCCCATTGTTTATTCATCCTTATGTGATCCTGTATACTTTTTCTCAAGTGTTTATCAACAGCAGCTTTCACTGACTGAGTGCACACCATGAGCAGGCCTTGAGCTCAGCACATGGCATGTATCATTATGTGTAACCCTCACAACCAGCCTGTAATGTGAGACCGTATCACAAATGAGGAACTGAGGCGCAGAGAGGTTAAGTGATATGGCAAAGAGTGAGTGTGAGTGAGCCCTCTCTGGATGTCATGCTTCACCAAATATTTCTGGATGTCCAATTTCCAGCGTCATGGAGTGTTGCACTTCTGGACCTCTGCATTGGGTGGGATCATGAAAGTTTTTGAGACCAATAGGTTGCAGTAGAAGTGATGAAGGAATTTTGTGGGATACGCATTTCACTGCAAGAACCTCTACGGATCAACTTCCCTCTTCCATTTCCCTCTTCCACATGCTCATGATGGGTCTGCTCCATCATCCTGGATACTTGAGTGGCAGTGATGGCAGAGCTCCCAACACACAATGAACATGTAGATTAAATAAGAAGTAAAACATTGTTTCAAGTTCCTGGGATTACTTTCCACAGCATAATCATGTTTTATTAGTGTCCTAATCCTGCTGTAACAAATTACCCAAAATTTAGTCTCTTAAAACAACAGAAATTTATTGACTTATCATTATGGAGGTCAGAAGTCCACAACTGGTGTTACAGGGATATAATCAAGGTGTCAGCCAAGCTGGATTTCTTCTGGAAGCTCTCTTCCTTGCCTTCCAAATTCTAGATGCTGCCCACATTCCTTTTCCCATGGTTCCTATTACTCATGTTACTTCCTATTACTCCTATTGCTTCTATTACTCCTATTACTCCAGGCTCTTGCTTCCATTGTCACTTGTCCTTGTCAATCTTTGACTTTTCTGCCTCCTTCCTATAATGACCCTGGTGGTTGCATTGGGCCCACCTTGATAATCAATGATAATCTCCCCATATCAAACGTCTTAACTTAATCACCCCCGCAAAATCTCTTTTGTGAGATAAAGTAAAATATTGACAGGTTCTGGGTATTAGGACATGGGCCTCTTTGAGGGGCCAATGTTCTGTCTCCCACACGCATCTCTCCTAACTTTCAGAAACCATTTACCATAACATAAACCTAAGTATGTGGCATTGTCACACAAGGTGAAGGACAAGGCAACTTATTGGAATCTGGAAGAAGGGCCATTCAAGCAGTGCTCTGGTGAAACAGTTCTAAAAATAAAACTAGAAATCAATAACAGGAGGAGAAATGGAATATTCATAAGTACATAGAAATCAAACAACACACTCTTAAAAAACCAGTAAGTCAAAGAATAAATCACAAGAGAAATTAGAAAATACCATGAGGCAAGTGAAAACAAAAACACAGGATACCAAAAGTTATGAGATGCAGTGAAAGCAGGGCTAGAGGGAAATGTACAGCTGTAAATGCATACATTTAGAAAGAGGAAAGATCATAAATCAATAACTTAACTATACCTTCAGAAATTAGAAAAAGAATTGCAAAATAATTACAAAATCCAAAGCTAGCAGAAGGAAAGAAATGATAAAGATTAGTGCAGAGATAAATAAAATGTGAATAGAAAAACAACAGAGAAAATCAACAAAACCAAGTGTTGATCTTCAAAAAGATCAACAAAATTGACAAACCTTTAGCTAAATTGACTAAGAAAAACAGAGAGAAGACCCAAATAACTAAAATCAGAAATTAAAGGATACTACTAAAATTTTACAGAAATAAAAGAGATTATAAAAGAGTACTATGAACAACTGTACACTAATGAATTGGATAACCTAGAAAAAATGGACAAATTCCTAGAAACACATGACTTACCCAGACTGCATCATGAAGAAATAGAAAATCTGAATAGAACTATAACTAGGAAGGAGATTGAATCAATAATAAAAAATGTCCCAACAAAGAAAAGCCCAGGACCACTAGGCTTCACTGGTGAATTCTACCAAACATTTAAAGAAGAACTAACACTAACTCTCTTCAAACTCTTCCAAAAATTTGAAGAGGAAAGAAGCCTTCCTATCTTATTCAGAGTCGTTCTAGACTCATGTATAGGCCAGCATTATCCTAATACCAAAGGCAGACAAATGCGCTTAAGAAAACTACAGACCTGGGCTGGCCCCGTGGCTTAGCGGTTAGGTGTGCACGCTCTGCTGCTGGCGGCCTGGGTTCAGATCCCGGGCATGCACCGATGCACTGCTTCTCTGGCCATGCTGAGGCCATGTCCCACATACAGCAACTAGAAGGATGTGCGGCTATGACATACAACTATCTACTGGGGCCTTTGGGGGGGGAAAATAAATAAATAAAATCTTTAAAAACAAACAAACAAAAAACTACAGACCAATATCTCTTATGAAAATTGATGCAGCAATCCTTAGCAAAATATTAGAAAACCAAATTTAACAGCATATGAAAAAATTGTACACTATGACCAAGTGGGATTTATTCCTGGAATGCAAGGATGGTTCAACATATGAAAATCAAACAATGTAATGTACCATATTAATAGAATGAAGAGGAAAAAAACCCCACATAATGATCTTATTTGATATAGAAAAAGCATTTGAAAAATGTCAACATTTTTTCAGATAAAAACAATCAATAAACTAGAAATAGATGGAAACTTACACAAAATGATAAAGTCATACATGAAAAACCCACAGCGAACATCATACTAGATGGAGAAAGTCTGAAAGGTTTTCCCATAAGATCAGAAACAAGACAAGGGTGCCCACTTTCACCACTTCTATTTAACGCAATACTGGCAGTTCCAGAAAAAGAAATTAGGCAAGAAAAAATTTTAAAAGACATTAAAATTGGAAAAGAAGAACTAAAACTATCTCTGTTTGCACATGACATGATTTCATACGTAACAACTCTAAAGATTATACACACATACACAAACTAATGGAGCTAATAAATTAATTCAGCAAATTGGCAGGATGAAAAATCAACAGACAAAAATCAGTTGCACCTCTATGCACTAGTGATGAACAATCCAAAAATGAAATCAAGCAAACAATTCCGTTTACAATAGCATCAAAATTTAACCGTGGAGATGAAAGACTTGTACACTGAAAAGTAGAAAACATTGCTGAAAGAAATTAAAGGAGACATAAATAAATGGAAAAACATCCCATGTTCATGGATTGGAAGACATCATGTTGTTAAGATGAGTGTTGAATATTACGTAAACTATCTACAGGTTCAATACAACCCCTGTCAAAATCTCAATGGCAGGAATATTTTTTGGAGAAATAGAAAAGCCCATTCTGAAATTCAGATGAAATCTCAAGGGACCCCAAATAACCAAACAATCTTGAAAAAGAAGAACATAGTTTGAGGACTCACACTTCCTGATTTAAAAACTTACTACAAAGCTACAGTAATCTATGTAGTGTGGTACTGACATTAGAACAGATATCTAAACCAATGGAATAGAATAGAGAGCCTAGAAATAAACCCTTAAATATGATCAAGTGATTTTCAGCAAGGGTACCAAGACCATTCAATGGGGAAAGGACGGTCTTTTCAACAAATGATGCTGGGAAAACTGCATATCCACATTCAAAAGAATGAAGTTAGAACTTTACACCATATACACAAATGAACTCAAAATGGATAAAAGACTACATATAAGAGCTAAAACTATAAAATTCTGAGAAAAAACCATAGTAAAACTCTTCATGACATTGGATTTGGCAATGATTTCTTGGATATGACACCAGAAGCATAGACAGCAAGAGAAAAAAATATGCAAATTGGATTTCATCAAAATTAAAAACTTTTGTGTGCAGAGGACACTATCAAGACAGTGAATAAAGGACTCACAGACTGGGAGAAAATATTTGCAAAGCATATATCTCATAAGGGATTAATATCCAGAATATATAAAGAACTCCTACAATTCAACAACAAAAAGATAGACAATGAATTAAAAAATGGACAAAGGACTTGAATAGACATTTCTCCAAAAAAGATGTACAAATGGTCAGTAAGCACAAGAAAAGATGCTCAACATCACTAGTCATTAGAAAAATGCAAATCAAAACCACTATGAGATGTTCCTTCACATCTCTTGGGATGGCTTTTATCAAAAACAAAATAAAAAACAGAAAATAAGTGTTGGCAAAGATGTGGAGAAATTGAAACACTTGTGCCTTGCTGGTAGGAATATAAAATGGGGCAGCACCTGTGGAAACCAGTGGCGATTTCTTAAAAAGTTTCATATAGAATTTACCATATGGACACAACAATTCCACCCTTAGGTATATACCCCAATATATCAAAAGCTGAGACTCAGACACGTGTACATCAATGTCCATAGCATCATTATTCACAATAGCCAAAGGTAGTAGAAACAACCCAAAATTCCATGAAGAGATGAATAGATAAACAAAATGTGGTATGTGTGTTAAGGAAAGTTATTCAGCCTTAAAAAGCAATGACATTTTGATATGTCCTATAACATGGATGGACCTTGAGAATATTATGCTAAGTGAAATAAGCCAGATAGAAGAGGACAAATATATGATTCCACTTGTATAAAATACCTAGAACAAGGAATTGCATAGATATAAAAAGTAGAACAGAGGTTATCAGGGGCTGGGGGCGGGGAGGGAAGAAAGGGGACTTACTCTTTAACGGGAACAGAGTTTCTGCTTAGGATGTTGAAAAAGTTCTGGAAATGTATAGTGACTGTTTCACAACATTGTGAGTGTACGTTGTGCCACTGAATTGTATCCTTAAAAATGGTTAAAATGGTAGATTTCATGTTATGTGTATTTTACTCCAATCAAAAATATGTACTGGGGGCCGGCCCGGTGGTGCAAGCAGTTAAGTGCGCGCACTCCACTGCGGTGGCCCGGGGTTCGCCTGTTCGGATCCCGGGCGCGCACCGACACACCGCTTGGCAAGCCATGCTGTGGCGGCGTCCCATATAAAGTGGAGGAAGATGGGCATGGATGTTAGCACAGGGCCAGTCTTCCTCAGCAACAAAAGAGGATGATTGGCAGATGTTAGCACAGGGCTGATCTTCCTCACACACACACAAAAATGTACTAACACAAGGTGATAGTCTATGTAGAGCTTTTGAATTGGACTAAATGGCTCAAGGAAAAAAAATAAAATGTGTGGTCCTAAAGGCTGATAGATTTGAGAAACCTGCACTTGAGTGGGGATCTAGAGCCATGGGAGCAAATAAGGAAACATCAGACATCAAACTTGTGTTTTGAAAAGAATTGTGGGTGGTTGACTGTGTTTGGACAGTGAGTTATGAGTTGAAGGGACAGGAGTCACCTTTGGGCCAATCACTGAACTGCAGAGGTGAGATTTTCCTGTTCCATTTCACTGCCTCAATAACTAGCCAGTTTCTGGACACGTAGAAAAATATAAAAGCATTCCTTCTTGTTTGAAGTGTCCTAAAAAACAGGCTTGGGTTCTGGTGGCAGGGATATAAATCAGAGGAGCAGGCTGTTGTGGCACCACAAATAAATCCTGTGTTCTTTTCTATTCCTTAGCTACTCCTCAGGGAGAAAATTTGTGTTCACCTTTGCAGAGTGTGAGCTGGTGAAACCCACCCACTTAGCACTGTTTGTAACCAAACCTGCCACCTAAGGAAGCACATGCTACTACAGGGCAGGTCCTTTGGTGTGCCCAGAGCATCAGGTGGTTTGGGTTTTAAACCTAGAGAAGAAGATTGGGGGCAGGGAATCTGAACTACTAAGACAAAAATGGGAAGAAATATGAATGAATCTTGGAGGGACAAATGGCAAGAATAGAGGAGGGAGGAGAGAAGAGGGATCAGAGGGTCAAAAGAAGCCATGCAATGGCAAGAACTCTGCCATTTGTGTATCTATAATTCCCGTATTTACATCTCTGGCTGAAACGTTTCCCCAGAACTCTGGACTGGTATGTCCAACTGCCCACTAGCCATGTTCCTTGGATGGAAATAAACATCTCACAGTTAACATGACCCAAAGTGAACTCCTGAATTTCCTCCACAGCCCTCCATATCTTAGCTGAGGCACCATTACTTTTCCAGATGCCCAGGTCCCAAACCCTTGGAGTCTGTGTCTCTCCCACCCCAATCCTATGCATCAGGAAATCCTGTTGGCTCCACTCCAGCATGGGTCCAAAATCTGACCTCTTTCCCCATCTCTACCAGCTACTGTCCTGGTGCAAGCCACTTCTTTTTTTTTTTTAATTTTTTGTTTATTGCAGTAACATTAGTTTATAACATTGTATAAATTTCAGGTGTACATTATTATACTTCTATTTCTGCATAGATTACATCATGTGCACCACCCATATACTAATTACAGCCCATCACCACATACATGTGCCTAATTATCCCTTTCGCCCTCCTCCCTCCCCACTTCCCCCCTGGTAACCACCAATCCAATCTCTGTCTCTATGTGTTTGTTTGTTGTTGTTATTATCTACTACTTAATGAAGGAAATCATACGGTATTTGACCTTCTCCC